CACCCCCACACTTCCCCCCCTCCTCCTTCCGTACAGTACTCCCTCCACTCCGGAGCTGTGCACGGGTTGTGCCCCATTTCCGGTGAACCTCTTGAGGCGTACACGCTCAAAAAAGGAAAGGTCCGACTGAATGAAAAAAAAAAAAGTTTTATCTACACGGTGTTTATATGCTCTGATGAGCGGGCCGCCCCGCCCTGCCCCGCCCTGCCCCGCCGGTCCATCGATTGGGCCGGTAGAGTCCCGGGCCGGGTCAGCGGAAGTGTTCATTATGATGCATCACCTCCATTCTGTTGGCTTTCCATGAGCGCGTCGCTGGCGCTGCAGGCGCGGGTGGAAGCACAGATTCACTCCCCGTCCTTTTTCTCTCCTCCCGTCGTCCCTCCTCTCTCGCTCTCTGCTCCCTTTGTCTTTCCCTTCGTGCAGAAAAAAGGGCCTTGAAGACGGTCCCGTACTTACTTACCTCATGAAGGAGAGAAGCTCCTCGCCGCTGTCTAATTTGGTCGCTTTGAGTCGAGAGTTGAGCAGATGAACGGGGCACTCTAGCGGCAGCTCGTAGCGAGCTCCTAATTACATTGAGGTACTTGCTCGCCCCGCGCAGGCAGAGGTCCTATCCTGGTCCTGGTCCCGCGGCCGTCGCGCTGCTGTCGCGCCGTCTCGTCCAGCGCGGTCCCAAAAATTTCCGCCGACAGCTCGGGAGAGGGTGGTGTCAGGATTGCGGGGACCTGCGGCTGAAACCAGCGCCCAAAGCGTTTCTTGTTTCTTGTTGTTATTTTTACCTGACAGGAGTGTTTCATTGTCCCCCACCACCAGCTTGTGTTAAAGCCATTTTTTTATTTCTTCTCGGCAGGACACCCCGTGTCGCTTGTTCAGCGCAATGGTTCGTACGATTTTTCTTTGCCGTAGACGTAAATCCTTTTTCTTTATTTTCTCTTTTCGGTAGTACGTAGATTTGATAAAAGCATCTTCCTCCTCTACTCCTGGCCTATGCCCCGCCCCGCCACGCGAGGCGAGGATCACCCGCCGCCCGGACCTCCCTGCTTCCAATAGCGCGCCCCGCGATGTGGGCCTCTCGCGCCGCGCCGTGTCAAAGACTGCCCACACAATTGAGACGAATGCTCCACGTCCAAAACACGAATTAAGAGGTTTAGGGGATCTCTTTTCTCGCGCCTCCACAATTTGTTGGAATGACGGAATCGAGGGGGTTTCGGGGGCGTGTCGCGAGGCCCGCACATCGGCTTGTAAAAATAATGAATAGTGTCGGGCGCGCCCCCATGGCGTTTATCTATTAAACTCGCCGTGTTTTGGGTTGTAACGCGCCTCTTCGTCTATTAAAATCCTGGCGGAGTAAAATGCGGGCTTTCTCTTTCTTTTGTTGGCATATATAACGTCGTTTGTGAGCGAAAGTTCTGGTTTATAGTTTTAAAATTTTGTCAAAAAGTAGTATAGGGCGAAATGTGGGGTGGGTTGGATATCTTAGCTTTGCATGGGGTATGTTCACAAAATATTGCATGAAAACGCGCAAGAGGTTTTGAAGTTGCGCAATGGAGCAGTTAAAATGTTTCTCTCTTTGTGGAATGCTACAGTCATAATAATGGACTTGCCTTGAGCTATCCAAACCTGGGGTAGGGAGGGTAGCGCCAGTAGCTAGTTGTTTTGGAATGTGCTGAAGCCGCTCATACGCCCCCTCGAGCAGAGTCTCCAAAACACCAGTCTCAAAAATTTGGGCCACGCGGTCCGGGGTCCGGGGCAACCGCCTGTACCGCGTCCGACGGCAATACAACTCGTTTGTGCGCCTCATTTGCCTGTTAAAATATTAGGTAGAGCAGGTGCTTACTACACGGTAAAAAAAATGTCTTACTCGAGTCTTACTTTCATTTTAGATGAAAAAGCAAAAAGTTCGCGTAATTTCATGGTGTAACTCGTATAATTTAAGAAAAACTCATCAGATTTTGAGGAAATGTTCTGAAAAGAAATGTGCCAATTTTCCCCATTTTTTTTAGAAAATGCTGAAAATCTGAGGTATTTCCCTCCCAACTATGGGATTGCCTCAAAGCTTTCCCCTTTTCCTCAAAAAGTCAGACATTGTTTTTACCGTGACTATCCGTAGAATTCCCGCGCGTCGCGCGTGCATTTGGTCGTCTGGCGCACAGGAGCGAAATATGGACGTCGTGACTCCCCAGTAGGGCTTTAGCAAGGACGATTCCCTAGTGAGAAAGTAAGATTTGAGGTTAGTTGACCCTCAGGACCTCTCGCTCGCACCGCGACCTCGCGACGCGCGGGCGCATTGGCCATCCCCCTATACCCGCCACTACCGCTTCTCTAGCCGTAAAAAGAGTAGCAAGTAGCACCCTGCGCCATCCAGCGTTCGTCTGCACTAAACGACCGTGTGTGCTAATAAGCAAGCAGCAGCCCTGTGTGTGTGTGTGTGTGTGCGTGTGTGACAGGTGCCCGACATACGTCGTGCCCGGCCGCCCGCCTCGCAGCCTTGTGCCCTGCGCTGCCGTGCAGCCCTCGCTCGCCCCCCACCCCCACCTCCGTTCTGATGATCGCACACACCTGCCGTGGAGGTGTGTGCTTCTGCCGTGGATTACCAAATGCTGCGAACGCAAGGCCCCCCGCCTCTTCTCCCGCGGCCCCCGCCCCCCGCAATAGAACGAACGCAACGCCACATAAAACAAACTACTTGCACTGCGCTTTTATCCTAACTGGAGAGTCTCTCTAGGGTACTTGCCCTCCCGCGTTTTCCGCGTTCACGAAGGCCCCACTTTGCCAAGCGGTAATGCTGAGGGGTTGGCACCCATCGCAGGTCGCATAGTCTTGTCGCGATCCGCCAGCCCTCCCTCGCCCCCGCCCGAGGGGGCCACGGTTCCCGCAATCCTGTGTACAGATGGAAGTGTAATCCTTTTGTAGTCCGTGTAATACTTAGCGAAATTTTGAAAAATTATCACTGAATTTCACCTAATTGTCCACATTGAATGGTTTTAGCCACAGAAATTCGCGTGTAATCCCTCAAAACTCATGTGTAGTCCCTGTAATCACGTAATCCTGTGTACATCTTAAATCAAAGTTGTGGCCTCCTCGGCTGCCCGCCCCGGTCTCGCCGTCGCGTGGCCCGCCGGTCTCTCTCTGAGCGCAGAACATGACGCCATGTTCTGGGCGCCATGTTGTTGGACGCGTCGCGCGGCGCGGTGGAACCATAGCGGCACGGCTGACGGGGGGCGGCGGCGGCGGTGGCGGCCCAGAACAGGTTGCGAAATACGCGGAAGGCCGAGCGGGGTCAACCGCCGCCGCCATAGAGGAGGAGGAGGAGGAGGAGGTGACCTGAGTGCTGAGGGAGGGAGGGTTTCCAGTAGTCCCGGCAGCGAGGGCGAAGGGTCTCGCGAGGTATACTGCCCGGGGTGGAAGGGCGGCCGTGTTTATCCCGCGGTGGCCGCACTGCATATTATGTGCTGACCTTCAGCTGCGCAAAATGGTTAGACTGAACACGTGTTAGTCGGACTCCATACCTCTTCTTCCCTCCCCGTCTTGGCCCCCCTCTCTCGCCCCCTCCGTTCCTCCCGCCAGGCCCGCGTGGGAGCGCGACGGGCCGGCGCAGCGCGAGGGGGAGGAGGTGGGGTGGGGGGAACCACCACCACCACCACCACCTGTTCGGAGGTTCCCACACACCCCACCCTCTGCTGCCTGCCGTGTTTGTCGTTCGACCAGAGCGCACCGTGGAGAAGGGAAAACACCACTTTTCCGAAAACAACAACGTTCCCCGACTGACTCCCCCCTCCCCCTCCCTCCCCCTCTACGAAAATAATGATGAATTTTCTCGTCGGGGCCCTTCCGTGCGCGCTAATAACTCCAAAGTCGTCGGCAGAGACTGTTTATGATTCCGTTCGGTATATATGGCAACGACTGTCCTTTTCCCTCGTCGGGGCCAATTTCGTTTCAGTCGACGCCGCAGAGCTGCTGCGTGCAGCACCAAGGCTCGCGGGGAGGGTGCTGGCACCACCACCCCCACCCCCCGCGCCCGCATCGCAAGAGACGCATAACGCAAGCAGGAGGCAGCGAGCGGCAGGTGGCCGCGGCCGGGGGATGCGCTCTGCCCCAAGGAGGGGGAGGTGGGTGAAAGTGCGGAGGCAGCCGATGACACAAATACGCGTGCTTTTCATTACGTTTTTGCCTGCTGCCTCGTCTTGCTACGGCCTGACGACGTTAGTCGTCGCTCCTCCTCCTCCTCGTACTGTTTCATTTTGTTCCCGTTTTGTTTTTTTCTGTTTTTGCGCACTTTCATTTCGCGAGTTCGTTTCCAGTTTGGGTTAGTGTAGTGTCGGAAGAGGGGAGAAGTGGCGCGGGTATATTTCGGCGAGTTTTTCACGTCTTGGTCTGCGGGACGCGACACGGCGGCGTCGTCGTTGCGATGGTCAGTGCATGGTGGCCGAGGCCGAGGCGGTGGCCCAACCTCGCCCCGGGCGTGTCTCGTCTCCGCGTCGCTGGGTCGCTACGCTCCGCTGAGCGTCCCGTCTCGTCCCGTCCCTCTCCCGCACGCGGCCCCTCCGCGCACCGGCCTCTCTCGCCGTCCCTGTCGCACGCACACAAAGAGCGCAGTGTGTGACGCGAACCACGGGGCCAGAACTGGAGCCAGGGGGCCGGGCTAACCTAGCCGCGTCCCCGAAATATGGAAGCAAGTCCAAAGTTATCGCATTTGTCCTTAGTTTGTCCTTGGGTTTGTAATGTAGTGTTTTTCGATCGGGCGAGTACGACCGAGAATTTCAGACCGACTCCATCTAAAACAGCTTCGGGCTGGCCAAAATTTTGGGCCATACCCGCCTGATCGAACACACTGATTGTAATGCCATCCCTCTCATTCGCTACTCTTTTTCGCTTCATATGGGACCGTGATGCCGGGGCGTTTATTCCTTCAAGTCTTCTGGCCTTATAAGCCTTTGTTCTGCTGTGCGGGGGCGCAGGACGCTCCCGCCGGGTGGGGGAAGTTTTATTGAGTGCGAGGAGAGGGGCCCGCCCCGCCCTGCCCCGCAGCCCGGGGCCGGTTTATTCGAAATGAGTATTTTATTATTTGTGCGTCGCAGGCCGGTGCTGCCGGGCGGGTACCTCGGCGGGTACTTGAGGTACGAGGTACCCGTCCTGGGCCGCCGCTCCGCGCCGCGCCGCACAATCTTCCCGCCCAGCCATGCGTGGCCAAGTTGACGTCAGATGTGGAGGCGGAGCGACGCAGGGCGTTAGAGGGAGCTCCGGCAGCAGCGGCGAACACGCTGGGCGTGGCGAGGCGGCCGAGGCAGTCGGGGGGCCAAGCGGCCAAGCCAACAGGGCATGTGCGCGCAGCACTTGGCGAGGACTTACGATGATGATCACGGCACATGTCTATTGATTGGCACGTCACGAGGCTCACGTATGCCCCGCTGTGACCCGTACCGGGCTGGCGGCCGGTGGTAGCGGTCCCCGTCGGTCCCCGTGGGTCCCCGTCGGTCGGTCCCCGTGGATCGCGTGCCGCCCGCCCGCCGTGATTCACATTGGGCAGCCTCCGCGGTGGCGGAGGCACGCAACGCCCGCAATCACATCAAAAGGAGAGCGCTGCGGCGCTGCCTGTTGTGCGGCTCCCCTACTGGTTGTGCGGCTATGTCTCTGGTAGTGCGACTCGGACCATGGCTGTGCGGCTCTTCCTTTGGCTCTCCCCGTGCGCGGCTCTCCCAGAAAAATAAGGCAGCTTCTAGAGTCGAGCACATGTGGCATGAGAGTAGTGCTTTAATGGAGACAAATCGACGCGCCGCGGGAACAGGATGGGTTAATTTTTGACAATTTTTTGAACTGCAACAGTACTGTACCACACGATGAGTAAAGAAATGAAACCTCCGGGGCACAAGTTACGAGGAAGTTATGTTTTCGCACAATGCCCCGGCTGCCAGATGTCGTCTCCATTGACCATTTCTCCATGTGCGCGGCCTCTGAAAATGTACCTAAGTTAGAAAAACCTACCCGGCGTACTCCTGGGTACAGGGTACTGGCTTCTCTGGGCGCCCTGCCCGTCGCGCTGCCCTCGCTGCTTCGGTCCCTTTGTTCTCCCGCTCAAGCGCAGATTTCGGGTGCATGCCCCCGCATCGGGCCGGGCCGGGCCGTGGGGCGGGTTGACCGTGTGCCGCTTGGCTGCGCATGATGGCCTCGCCGGGTGGGGCCCGTCCCGGGTGGGGCCCCCTTCGGCTGGCGGGGTGCTCGGGGGGCCGGGGGCTCCCGACGGGGCGTACGGACAGCGGGCGCCGCTCACCATGCAGGCCCGGCCGGGTACGAAGTCTAGAGCCCCTCGGGTCTGACTGGCTAACACCGCCATGGCATGGGCGTGTTGCCGTGCTGCCTACTGCCATAGTTTACCGGCGTAGACAGGCTCCCGCCGGCCCCGCCCCTTGCAGCTTAGCCTCACCGCACGCAGGCGTGTTGCCGGGTTGCCTGGTAGCACGGCGGCCACGGCTGCCACAGCGGTCCTTGTCCCCACTATAGGGCATGCATCCATAAAAAGTGCAACAGGCGACACAGCGAGGTAGTCGTCGAGCTCCCTCCCTACATCCCGCGCTGAATTCTTTGATGCTCATGGTTGCGATGTGCTTTCTTTTTGTTGCAGACAACCCGGCGCAAGTGCCGCCGCTCACCCCGGGGACCAACAAGAAGA